GAGACTCGAAGCCAACCACTTGGCTTCTGGAGTTGAAGAATGAAGAGGATGGCAGATGAAGAGGAAGTAGAACAGGTGGCACGTGCTGAGGAAGCTCTACCATGCAACCAACTGCCAGAAGACAAAAAGCATTACACTATTTTCACTGATGGTTCTTGTCGCATCATAGGAACAAACCGGAAATGGGAAGCAACCTTATGGAGCCTCACACGACGGGTTGCAGAAGCCACTGAAGGACAAGGTGAATCAAGTCAAGTCGCAGAGCTTAGAGCCATCCAACTGGCTTTGGATATTGCCGGAAGAGAGAAGTGGTCAAGACTTTACACTGACTTGTGGATGGTGGCCAATGCTCTGTTGGGGGAGGCTGGACAGATGGAAGAAGGCCAATTGACAACATAAAGGGAAACCCATCTGGGCTTCTGATATCGCTGCTTGGGTAGCAAGACATCGCTGCCCAGGTAGAGAAGCTGATTGTGAGAGTCCACAATTAACGGATCTTGATTGTGTACTCTCTGCTAGAGGTTTCCCAGAGAAGAATTCAGTTGCACGGTCCCCCTTCAGCAGGAGGAGAGAGCGACCAAGTTTCCTCTCTGTGTCCCAAGGCGAAAAGACCTTTATTTCGAAACTCCCGCGGTTTATATGGGCTCGGGGAGAGGGCAAGAAGAAGGGACGTGATTGGGCTAAGGTCCGGGGGGAAGGGAGTGTCTTGAGGGCTCTACTGCCCAATGGGGGATACAGGAGGACCGTGTTCCAGTAACAGAACCAGGGACTGGGGAGAGATGGGTGAAACAGCCCATCCTGCTTATGCAGGGGCGGAGTCTGCGATCAGGAAGGGGAGACAATATGGTTCCGAATGGGGCCGCGTGGGTCGGGGAAATTACACAACTCAGGGAGAACCCGTACAATAGAAAACGCAAGTAGTTGTTTTTCTGCTTCGCTTGATCCCGGGAAGCCGCTGCTGTAATGGACTCGTTTCTAAAGCTGTTCTTTCCAGGCTTTGTAATCCTGGCGTTCGCCTACACACAATGTAGGCGCACATGAGCCCAAAAGCTGAGCAAATGAAGAACATCGCAACAATGAACAGGCAGACCGAGCTGCCAAAATCAAAGTGTCTTAGTCAGATCTTGATTGGCAGGAGAAGGGAGACTTGTTCCTAGCTCAATGGGCCTATAATGCCTCAGGTCCTCAGGGAAGAGATGCCACCTATAGGTGGGCACGAGACCGAGGGGTGTATTTAACCTTGGACAGTATTTCTCAGGTTATCCATGATTGTGAAACGTGCTGCAATCAAGCAGGCTAAGAGAGCAAAGCCGCTGTGGTATGGTGGGAGATGGAGATATGGAGAGGCCTGGCAGACTGATTACATCACACTGCCGCAAACCCACCAAGGTAAATGCTATGTGCTTACCATGGTGGAAGAAACCACCAGATGTCTGGAGACACACTCTGTGCCTCATGTCACTGCCCGGAACACCATCTTGAGCCCTGAAAAGCAATTTCTGTGTTGACATGGCACCCTAGAGCAAATTTAGTCAGACATTGGGACTCATTTCAAGAACCTGGATAGGTTGGAGAGTTGGGTCGATTCCAACGGGATGCGGTTCAACAAGGCCAAGTGCCGGGTCCTGCACTTTGGCCACAACAACCCCATGCAATGCTACAGGCTGGAGACAGAGTGGCTGGAGAGCAGCCAGACAGAGAGGGACCTGGGAGTTTGGATTGACAAGAAGCTGAACATGAGCCAGCAGTGTACCCAGGTGGCCAAGAAGGCAAATGGCATCCTGGCCTGTATCAGGAACAGCATGGCCAGCAGGTCCAAGGATGTGATTCTTCCCCTGTACTCAGCGCTGGTGAGGCCACACCTTGAGTGCTGTGTCCAGTTCTGGGCCCCTCAGTTCAGGAAGGACATTGAGGTGCTGGAGCAGGTCCAGAGGAGGGCAACAAGGCTGGTGAAGGGACTCGAGCACAAGTCCTATGAGGAGCAGCTAAGGGAGCTGGGGCTGTTCAGCCTGGAGAAGAGGAGGCTCAGGGGAGACCTCATCACTCTCTACAACTACCTGAAAGGAGGTTGTAGCCAGGTGGAGGTTGGTCTCTTTTCCCAGGCAACTGTCAGCAAGACAAGAGGGCATGGTCTCAAGTTGTGCCAAGGGAGGTTTAGGTTAGATATTAGAAAGAATTTCTTTACAGAGAGGGTAATCAGGCATTGGAATGGGCTGCCCAGGGAAGTAGTGGATTCTCCGTCCCTGGAGATTTTTAAAAAGAGACTGGATGTGGCACTTAGCGCCATGGTCTAGTAACCGCAGCAGTAGTGGATCAAGGGTTGGACTTGATGATCTCGGAGGTCCCTTCCAACCCAGCTGATTCTATGATTCTATGACTCTATGATTCTATGAATAGTCTAGTTACCACCTGGGTTAAAGAGCAGGGTATTGAGTGGGTATATCATATTCCCTATCGTTCACCAGCCACTGGGAAGGTTGAACAGTGTAATGGACTGTTCAAAACTACTTTGAAGGCATTGGGCGGGGGGACTTTTAAGCATTGGGATCAGCATCTAGCAAAGGCTACTTGGTTAGTCAACACTAGAGGCTCTGTCAACCAAGCTGGCCCCTCCCAATCAGAGCCCCTTCACACTGTAGATGAAGTCCCCGTTGTGCACCTGAGATGTATGTTAGGGAAAATGGTTTGGATTAGTCCTGCCTCAAGCAAAGGCAAACCCATTCTTGGGATTGTTTTTGCCCAAGGACCAGGTTGCACTTAGTAGGGAATGCAGAAAGATGGGGAAACACAGTGTATAACCCAAAGGGACCTAATTTTTGGGTAAACTATCCATAACACTGTACCTGTATATTTGTAAATGTGTATATAGTTGGAATATGTATATATATATATATATGTATGTGTATTGTTGGAAGGTTTAAATCTGATATAACTTGATGGTATAAAATATTCAGGGTGGATAATGTTGTAGTTTCAGTTAAATAGGAAAGATTTTTGGTGAATTATTTCATACCACCATGTGGTTCGGGTTTGGGGGACTGCCCTCACCCCCCCCCATCTGAGTTGAGCTGGGGAGGGACTGTCCCCAGCATCTCGGGACCTGCAGGAAGGGTGGGCCCCTGAAGTTTAGCATTGCAGGAACTCAGGAGACAGGGTAAAATCCCCAGTGCTTCTGGAACTCACTCTCTTGTTCCTGGGTGTAGTTGCCAAGGGAAAAGACCACTGCAGCCCCTGCACCGGGCACTTCAAAGAGTTGCCCCGGTCTCGCGTGACACCAACCTCCATTTTCCTAAGGGCCACTCTAATATAACACACATAGAGCAAATGCTACCTGACCCTTGGAAGAAAAATTCACACCTAAAGCTAATGCAGGCAGCGACACTTATAACAAACAGCAGTAACTGCTGGATTTGTTCACAGTTTCCCACTCATTCGGATGCAAGCATTCAAATGATGGGACTTCCAACACTGAACATATTCTCCAATGGTCTCCCTCTGATGCTCCTTTTAGAAGAAAAAACAGCCCAAACCCCCATAGATGCACAAATCCTGTCAGTGGAAATAGCAGTCATTGAGATCTCCTGTGTTCAAAGATGCCTAAAGGGACCAGGAGTAGCTTCTCACTGAAAAATGGAGTCACCTAATTGTAAACAAGGAATAATTGTAGGAGATTATACCAAGTGTAATTTGCATTTAGATGTAACAGGAATAGGCATTTTAAATACACACTGGTGGCCTATTCCACATAATATGGGATACTACTGGCTTTGCAGAGGTCAAGCTAGAAAAGCTCTACCCCCGGATGGCAAGGAATATGCACCATTGGAGTTGTAGTACCAAAAGTAGATGTCATTGATATATCAGAATTACCCAGAGGACATCTACGATCTTTTATAACATGACACAAATGAATTTTAAATCTATTAGCTGAGAGGTCCTCTGGATTCCACAAGTTTGTGAGAGGATTCTTACCATGATTAGGAGTACCTGAATTAGAGAAGGCTATAGTGAACAAATCCGGAGTTATTGAACAAATAGAAAACTGGACAAATGATGCAATTAGCACTTTGCAACAAGAAATTACCAGCCTTTCAAAGGTAGTCAGAGTCAAATGGCTCTAGGTCTGCTTTTGGCTTCTAGAGGTGGTGTGTCCACACTCATCAACACCAGTTGCTGTGTATGGGCAGATCAGACTGTGGGGGGACCGGTAGGTCCGCTGAGCCCCTGGAGGTTGAACCCCTGGATGAGTATAACAGATGGTATAAAGCCATTCCCATGAGAGCAGTGAAGTTAATTGGCCGTTTCCATGGACAGAGCAGCCTTGAGTATCAGGGAGTTGACTGGAAAGATGATAAGCAGTGTGAGGACAGGGCTGTTAGCTGTGTTTCAGGGTGCAGGTGTTAATTCTTGAGTGTTTTGTAAAAAGTATATTTACAGTAAGTGTGTGGGAAAGTGTGGATTAGCTCTCAATAAAGCAGGCTGCTGCGCTTAGGCGGCAGACTACTCTGGTCTCAACTCTCTGTGTGCGTGTCTACTTTCTCTACTGACCAAACCTAACCGATACGACAGATACCCCGCGACATCAGACTTTGAGAATTCAGACTGATTTGGAAGAAATTAGAAAGAACACCAGAATCTTTCATGAAATACAAAAAATCAAGGGAAGATATATTTGATTGGATAACATCATGGATTCCAAATTTAAGTGTGATTGTAAGAAAACTGATTGGCATAATTGTCATAGTTCTGACATTAATGGTTGGTATATTAATTTTATTTCAAATTTGCAAAATAGGATGTAACAGAATGTGTAAATCTGACAAATACCATTTTTTCTAAAAAGACCTCAAAAGGATGGATAGCTACTCTAACTTAAGTTTGTTTACATAGTGTTAAGAACCTTGATCAGTATTACTAAGGTACTAGATAATTTGAATAAGATAAGTTTTCGATTGTGTCAGGGTTTAGAGATGTAACAAGAACTAATAGTATTTGCAATGGAATTTACCATAGAAACTACATATATCTGAGCCAAGTGATTTAAAGGGACTAACCAAGCAAAGTAAAGAAACAATGAAGAAGGGAACTGAGGCAGCCAGCCAAGCAACACCAAGTTACTCTATAACCAGGTGAATTGTCCTGAAGAAGTTCATAAGGTGACCACTTAGAACTTTGGGGGCTCCAGACAGACAACCACCAGAGACCCCCGATGAAGCCTCTCAGAGACCTTATAAGGATATGTATATATGCTAATTAGTGTTGGGAAATTTCATGAATATGTAACAAGAATGCAGGGAACGAAACATGAATAAAATCATGCAATGCTGACATATGAACAGTAGTGGAGATACCTCTGTGTGCACTTTGGTGAACTGATTCCCAGGGCACCTGATGTGCTGCGATCATGCAGCGCATCATAATAAAAGAATGCCTGGCTTCTAAAACTCACAAATTTAGTCTTAGAGGTTTCTTTAAAAGCCAATTTTAGGCAACAATTCTTTTTAATAAAATGTTTTGTCTCAATAGTTTTGCAGTATGTATATGAGTTTTCCACAAGCATTGCTTTGGAATGTTTGTGCCTTCTCTCTGTTTGCCACAGTGGATGGAGAAGATTCCTCCCTGAATTCATATGATTATGGAATCAGGTTTGTGTACCTCCTCCTACCTCCTCAGAGCAAAGTACCCTGACTGGAGTAATATGCTGAGTAGGTAGGAATGATTTGAGTTTCATTACACCTCTGATTCCCCTGAGGCAACCAGACTATTGTGTAGTAGAATTTTTATAATTGTTAATGCTGAACTTTACTGAAGAACTGTATTAAGAAGCATGAGTGAAAGTGAAGGGAGTCGCCAACCAATCTGTCGAACTCCTTCAATCAGTGCCACCAAAAAGTTGGGCTTCATGAACTCTTCCCCTGGATCCTGGTTTGCATCGCATCTTTCCTACAATTTTAAAACTCCTGATCTACACAAGCTGGTAACATCATGGGTAGAATGGCTTGTTTGGATTGTCGCTCTGCCCTAATTGCCCATGAACTATCACGTCTCAACATCCACATAGCTACTCTCAGTGAAGTTCATCTCCATGAGGAAGGCAGCCTTAGAGAACATGGTGCTGGTTACACACTCTTTTGGTCAGGTAAACTCAGAACCAAAAGGCATCTCTCAGGAGTTGGCTTCATGATCAAAAACTTTATTGTTCCTAAACTCAAAAATCTGCTGACAGGTCATTCTGATCGCATTATTTCCCTACGCCTTCCACTACACAACAAGCAACACATTGTCCTCTTTAGTATATATGCCCCAACTCTCCAAGCCGACCCTGCTGAAAAAGATAAATTTTACACTGACCTGCGCCGCCTTATCCAAAAGGTGCCTGCAGATGATAAGATCATTATCCTTGGTGATTTCAATGCCAGAGTAGGTAAGAATTTTGAAGCATGGAAAGGAATATTAGGCAAGCATGGTGTTGGAAACTGCAACGATAATGGTCGACTTCTGCTAGAATTCTGTGCGGAGCAACAGCTCACCATCACTAATACTATCTTTCAGCAGAAAAATAGTCTGAAGACAACCTGGATGCACCCCAGATCTAAGCATTGGCACCTCATTGATTATGTCTTGATGCGACGGACAGATGTCCGTGATGTGCACTATACCCGCGTGATGCCCAGTGCAGAATGACAAACAGACCATCGACTTGTGCACTGTAAACTCAACTTCAATCTTAAGTTAAAACCTAAAAGGGGCAGTATCCCAAGGAGGAGACTCCAAGTTAACAATCTCCAATCAGACACAGTAAGAGACAGATTCCAGGCAAATCTTCAAACTAGGCTGGAAAATCATTCTACAGATTCTATAGATCCCTCTCCTGAAACACTTTGGCACCGTATTAAAAACAGCATCCTGCAGTCCTCTGAAGAATCCTTAGGGTTCTCCCTCAAGAAGAACAAGGACTGGTTTGATGAAAACAATCAAGAGATCCAGGAACTGTTGAGGAAGAAGAGAACTGCTCACCAAGCACACCTTGCACTGCCATCCTGTCATGTATCGATATTACTATCTATTCGATATCGTACTGATGGAAGCCTTGTCAACCTAAGGTGACTGAAGGCCCATACTAAGACCTTAAATCATCTTGTCTGGGAGCTGCTTTACGCTGTTGACGCTGCCCTCGTCGCTCACACAGAAGTAACTCTGCAGCGTTTAACATCCTGCTTTGCTGAGACTGCTGAGCTTTTTGGACTGGAAGTCAGTCTGAAGAAGACAGAAGTTTTCTATCAGCCTGGACCTCAGGAAGTCTTCCATCATCCCATATCACCACTGGCGAATCAGAGCTCAAATCAGTCCAGCAGTTTAATTACCTAGGTAGCATCATCTCCTTGGATGGTAAGATTGACGGAGAGATAGACAACAGGTTAGCAAAGGCATATAGAGCTTTCGAAAGACTCCATAAAAGAGTCTGGTGAAATAAACACCTGAAGAAAAGTACAAAGATCAGTGTTTACAGAGCCATTGTGCTGTCTACTGTCTTATATGGGTCCAAATCATGGGTCATTTACCACCACCACCTGCGACTCCTAGAACACTTCCATCAACACTGTCTCCGTACAATCCTAAACATCCACTGGTCAGATTATGTAACTAACACATCTGTTCTAGAACAGGCAGCACTTACGAGTATAGAGACCATGTTGCTGAGAACACAGTTGCGTTGGGCAGGACATGTCTCCAGGATGAAGGACCACTGCCTCCTCAAGATTGTGCTCTATGGTGAACTTCCCACTGGCTGCCGCAAGAGAGGAGTCCCAAAGAGGAGATACAAGGACTCCCTGAAACAACATCTCAGCCTTGGCCACATTGATCTGCATCGCTGGTCTACCCTGGCCTCCAATCGGGAGGTCTGGAGACACACTATCTATAACGCTGCTTCTTTCTTTGAGAACACATGCAGGATCACCATTGAAAAGACAACGCAGAAAGAATCGTATCCTGCTGATACCATCCAAGGAGTCTTTCTTCTGTGCCTTTTGCAACCAACCTTGTCTATCTCACATTGGCCTCTAACTATCAGCGTGCCTGTAGCAAACGTGGGTAGAGCCCTTCCCAAATCTTCGTTCGCGAAGCCTAGCCATGATGACATGACATATATGAACGTAGTACCTAGCCCAACATGAGGATAGTAACCATTCCAAAAATACATGCATTGAAATAACAACGTTTCTTGCAAAAACCAGTAATTAATTCCATATTATGCTCTTTTTAATATTGCTAACTAAATTCTGACCGATTTTTATAACAACTTCAAGTATAAATTTTAGGTATAATGTATAATTATAATATAACCAACACCCTTTTAAACTACCTGAGTTAAGACAGTAAGTTAAAGTAAGACTTAGATTGATGTATGTCAACATACTTAATGATAACACACACATATACAGTGGATATTTTTATAGCATGGAGGCAAGAAGTAGCTGCATTACCACTTCATGAGGTAAAGATGATTGACTGCAGTCAAGGAGGGAACTGTGGCAGGATGTTCTATCCCGATAAGGCCTAGAATCCAGTCAGAGAAATGCAAACAATGCAAGCTATCCATGGTGAGTTACCACTGGTGTCAAGGTGCTGTTTTGGTGTTGAATTACACTAAAACCAGCCTGGTTCACCAAACTTCAAACACATATCCTACTTTTTGAAGCAGGATTTGACAGATAAGCTGCTCGCTCACCTGTAAATCTATGACTAGCAGTCCATCACTTTATAACTATAAAAGCCTAGTCCAACTTTCATATGGCAGATTCTTCCACATACTTTCTTGAAGTGTGTGGAGTTCTCCCTTGAAGCAGGGATGCCGCTTCATGGTTACTCCCCAGGGGTTAAGTGAAAGACAGAGATCTGCCCATTATCATAGTGTGGTGAGTTATACCAATCTCTATGTAATGATTGTTTCTTTTGCTATTTTTGATACAATTGCTTTAATATAATTGCTTTGATACAGTATACTATACTATTTTATGCTATATTATACTCTACTAGTAGGTTTTTAGCTTTTACACTGTGTAGTAAATAATTCTGATTAGGATCTTTCGTCTGTTCATTTGTCTGTTCATTTGCCATAATAGATAATTCATTTTATATAAATATATCTGATTTGCCATCATTAAAACCTGCAGGACAAAGTATGTTAATCATACCTCTATAATTCTTTAAATTTAAACCATTGATGTAATCTGAGGCTAAGATTGGATTCAACTGCACCCAGGCTCCTCTCTGAGAAGGAGTTTAGAAAGCAAGGGGGTCCTTTCTGCACCTCATGGCTCAACAGCAGGGCTTCTTTAATAACTTTTGTCTAAGCCTTCCACTGCTCCCATGACAGTCCCTTTCCCCCTTCTGGTCTAGTTTAAAGTTTTATCAATGAGCCCTGCTGGCTCCTGTGCTAGAACTCTTTTTCCCTTCTGAGAAAGATGCATCCAATCAGATGTCAGCAGACCAAGTGTTGAATAGATCATCCCATGGTCAAAAACCCCAAAATTTTCCTGATGACACCAGTCTGGGAGCCATGTGTTGATCTGATGTATCTGCCTGTTCATTAGATATTATTCCTTGCTACTGCAAGGATTAAGTAAAACATTACCTGTGCTCCTGATCCTTCAGCCAATTGTCCAAAGGCCCTGAAGTCTCTTTTGATTAACCTAGGACTTCTCTGTATTTCGCCACTGCTGATTGAACAACCAATAACAGATAGTAATCAGAGGGCCTTACTAGACTGGAGAGTTTTCCAGTAATGTCCTTTACCCAAGCTCCTGGGAGACAGTAGACTTCCTTCAGAGTTGTGTCTGATCTGCATATCGGGCCCTCCGCTCCTGTTAGAAAGGAATCTCCTATTACAACTACCCTTCTTTTCCTCTTAACAGAGGAGGTCATGATGCAGGGGGCAGACTGTGTTGCCCTATGTGGCCCGTCTATCCCAGCCTCACCTCATCAGTTGACTGTCCTTCTAGTTCCAGGGCCTCATGCCTGTTGTAAAAGGTACCAGTCCTGCTTGTCATTGTCAAGTTTTCAGGAGGAGGAACTTTCCTCCTAATATGGGCAGTAACCAGTTTCCAGCCTCCATGTTCAACAGACCCTTGACTAACTACTTGACAGGGTTTCAAGTCCACCTGCATCTCCACTACAATGGAGGTTTAAGGCTCCTGAGACTGTAGTATCTCTGAGAATATCCTATCAATCCCTCGTTCATTTTCTCGAATACTGCATAGCATATTTACTTCCTCCCCTAGTTCCTTCACCTGGCGACACAGCTCATCAACAACAGCACACCTCCTACAAAAGGAATGATTGTTGGCCCCAGCCTCAATCATGAGTCTATTCACTACCTGACGGGGCTCTGGGCTGCTGACCAGATGTCCCTGAGCTTGGAAACCCCCTGTACAGTTCGATCTAATGCTCACCCCTGGACTTACCTCAGTAGCTACTGCTGCCGCCTCACCAACTTCCTCCCACCCCCACCTTCTTCCCAAGCTCAACTTCACTCCTGACTCTTCTACCTCCTCCCCTGAGAGGTGCTGGGGGGTGGAGGACAGGAATTGTGGTCAGTTCATTACGTGTTGTGTCTGCCACTCTTTCCCTCCTCATGCTTTTCCCCTGCTCCAGCGTGAGGTCCCTACCACAGGATAAAGTCCTTCACGAACTTCTTCAACATAGGTCCTTCCCACAAGTTGCAGTTCTTCACAAACTGCTCTAGCACAGGTCCTTTCAACAGGGTGCAGTCCTTCAGGAACAGACTGCTCCAGCATGAGTCCTCCACAGGGTCAAAGGTTCTGCCAGAAAACCTGCTCCTCTGTGGGCTTAAAATATGGACTGTACTTCTGTGGATGAGTGCACAAATAACATCTGTATAGTAATAATGGTTATATCTGAATTGTAACAAGATATTACCATATTTTTAAAATAGACTCTAATGGTGGTGGTAACTTCATTTTTTATTTTTCTTCCCCAGTAAAAAAACACATGGTGTGTCTCATCATAATTAGAACCCAGTTTTTCCCACAGCACTAAATTCAGCTTGGTGAGTACAGGCCTAATTGTAGTAGTTCCTCCATTTATCCGTTAGTTAGGAGCATACCTTCCTTTTACATATACATATCCTAATTTCTGTAACCTGCATATGTAAAGAACCAACTGGTTCTATATAAGCAGTCATTACAAGATAGATGACCATGCTGGATTTTGTAGCATTATTCGCAACTGTGAATAAGAGCTATAGGGGAGAAAAAGGATTTTGCTCAATGCTGAGTTTTTGTCTGATGCTTTTTAAACAATGCATTTATCTGTTCTTCATTTTTCAAAGTATCTTCTACAACTGTGCAGTTATAATTCAGCATTATCATGTATACTTCTGCATTAGTAAATACCTAGGACCTGCTGAGTAATTATGAAAAAAACTCATAATGAAATGCAGCAAAGAGTTCTATTTAAATTTTGAAGTTGATAAACAACTTTTCTACTTAAAATAAGAATTTTCCAACCATGTTTCCTTATGAGTTCTCAGAATGCATTACTAAAAATGTATAAACAATGTGGTAAAAACAAAATGTGATTTTCCGCACCTTCAGCCTGTGGAAAACCATTTGTAAACAAAATGAACTAATATATATAAAAAAATAATTAACTGATGTTGAAATAGTAGGGCAAGTGCATGAAATTTTTATAACTCTTTTTTTATGACCAAAATCTAAGAAACCTGTATAGGGTGAGATTGATGGTCCATATAATTCAGTATTCTGTCCCTGAAAATGACCAGTAGTGGGTGCCTAGTGTAGCATGACAAGCATATTTTCCTGAGATATTTTTTTCAGCAGTCTCTCACTCATGAACCCCCAATCCAGAGTTTGTACCTTTGCACTTAATAGTCCCTGATGGAAAATAAGAAAGTGCAACAACTGGACTAGACTTAGAACAGAAGGTTTTGTCAACATAAAATATCAGCTAAAAATTTGATTGTTGTGTACTATCTTTCATTCAGGGGTTATTACCTTTATATTTGCAGAACAAATATCTTATAATATAAACTGTATTCCTAGTAAAGCAGTTCACTGTTATTGCTATCCCTTTCTAATACAAAATAGACCTTATTCAAGATGCTCTCTGGTTTAAAAGATATAATATGCTCACAATCACTAGTAGAAGTACAGTTAATGCCATAATCCATTCACGTTCCCATATAAATTATTTTTCTAAAAAAAACCCAGAAACCAACCCACAAAAATACGTTATTCTATTGTTGCCTAAAAATCAGGAGCAAAAAAAGTCACCAGGTTAATTTAGTAGTGATAAGATAGAGAGCAGGTCTTTAATAATGGCCTTCTGGCCACTGGAGTACAGAAAAGGGGCACGCACTGTGTCCAGTGGTTCTACAATTTTATAGTATTGTCCATCCAATACCAGAACTATCCACCCTCCAGATCCTCCCCAGATCTGCCCCCTGCATGCCTCTTTGGAATTGAGTCGGTGGATCCCAAGACCCCTTTCTTCCTCATCTTCCCCTTCTTCACGGCACATACTGTCTTTGGACCTTCTCCAAGGTTCCAGGCTTGAAGGTTGCTTTGACTATGATGGTATCTTGTTGTTCAGGCCTGGGGTGCAAATGTTCTTAAACAGAAGGTGTTTACTACAGTTCTGCCTTAAAAAGGAGCCTAAACCAGCCTAAAGAATTTAGAAAATTCAATATGAAATGGGGAAATAGGGTTTAGTGAGTGTTAACTACCATTCTAAAGTGTGAGAGACTATACAATTATACTAAAAATCTATATTTACTTCACAGCTACTTTAAAATCTACATTTACTTCACAGCTACTTTAAAATCTACAAAACGCTAAAAATCCTAAAAATTCTGAGGCATCACTATTCAAGCACCAAAATCAACTAATTTAACCTACTAATTGAACATTTATAAGTAATATTAGAGCAATCATAATAATATTGTTTAATGCTTGTTTGGATACAGAATTCATAGCAGTACTAAATAAAATAATAATTATGCCAGGCGACCACCAGGCACGCCGTGCTGGACGCCGAGCGTGCCAGGCCACGCGGTCGCCAGGCGTACCGCGTGGTGGCCGGCGGGGATTGCGCCATCGTGGGAGAGGAGAGGGGGAGCTTCGGAGCACACAGAGATTTGCCGGTCCGGTTTGCGGGAGGGGAGTGGTGTCGGGCGGGCCGTGAGGGTCCTCAGACCTGCGGGAGGGTGGGCGGGGCAGTCCTGTATCGAGTATCGCAAGTGAGCAGTGCAAGGGAAGATCTGTGGAAACACAGTGGGAGGAGGATAAGGTCTGGGTGGATAGTGGGTTCTTCTGGGGGGTTGGGGTCATGGGAGGTACCCGAGCCCCGGGTGGGTGCGGGGGCCGGATCGGTTTGCTTTTGGCTCACCTGCGGCTACTGTCCAGATTAGATTTGTTTTGGATTTATTTATTTATTGTGTCCTGAAAGGGTGGTCAGGACAAAGGGATGTTCCTGGGTATTTCTCTGGGATTGAGTATAGATGGGTGGCAGAAAAGTAGGGAGTGAAAGCCTTGTCCTAACCGTTTTAGTGGGAAAGAAGCCTGTGTACCCCTATGTGGTTGTGAGCTATGCTGGCGATGGTATATGCCTTCAGTAGGGTCTCCCATGCCAGACAGGTCAAAACCGAAGGGTCAGATAAAATATGTCCATGGGCAGAATGAGCTCACTAGCCTTCTGGCAGTCATCCTAGGAGAAGGACAACTCTAACTCCAAACCCGGGCAGATGGAGCTCGCTTAGCCCTGTAAGGCCATCCATCGAAGAGAAGGATACTCTAATTAAACCTACGTCCTGAGGACCTCGCTGCCAGTGTCCAAGCTCACTCGGCCCTGGCAGATGAACCTTAGGATTAAAGGGTGGGTCCAGTTCTGTGCATGCTGCGTCTCACCTAAAAAATCCACTGCGCAGGCTCGCTCAAATTATGCCATCATTTTGAAATATCTTTTTAAGAACTGTTAACTTCATTAAGGGTAGAGAGTACCATTTTATGGAAAATCTGTTTTAGGTTAAAAAAATAAATAACAGAACTAGTTATATTACCAAGAACAAGTACCTCATTTTCAAAGACTTATGAAGAATTTAATCTTGTCTTCCAGTTTCTCACTTTCTTGTTGCATAATGCTAATACTTTACGTTTTGCTTACTTGAATTGTAAGAATATTAGTTTACAATTCTGAAGAGAGTTGAGGCTGCTAATTTCACAAGATAGAGATTACCAGAATGCAGCACTTTTCCATCATGTTCCTTCCTTGCTTCAGGCTTTTGAGTGATGAATGAGAAGACAATAGTGGGAGCAGAGGAGTTTCTGCCCTAAGAAAGCATTTGAATGGCATAACTTTTTCTTTTTTAAACAAATCTAAAAAAGATTATTTTCTATTTACTTCCTGATATTTTGATGCCTAAAATGGAAGAAAAATTATCCAAACAATATTAGTATAGATAAGATAGCAACTCTTTAATGAAGGCCTTCAAGGTGCACACAGTGCATAGGCACACACCCATGTCCAGGGGTTTTACAATTTTACAGTACTCATCCATCCAATCCAAGAACTATCCGCCCTCAGGTCCTCCCCAGATCTGCCCCCCTGGCAGGCCTCCCCGGAACTGAGTTGGAAATCTCAAGACCCCTTTCTTCCTCATCTTCCTCCTCCTCCTGGCACGCATTGTCTTTGGAGCTTCTCCAAGGTTTCTGGGCCTTCAAGGTTGCTTTGGCTACAATGATATCTTATTTTCCCGGTCCAGGTGCATATGTCCTAAACAAGATGTGTTTGCTAGAGTCTTTTCCCTTAAGAAGAACATTAAACAAACTTAAAGAATTTAGAAAATTCAATATGAAGCGTGAGAACAGGGTTTGGGAACTGTCAACTGCTATTCTAAAGTGTGAGAAACTTTACAGCTGTACTAAAAATCCATATTTGCTACAAATCTTAAAAATTCTAAGGCATCAATTTAAGCCTAAGAATATATATTCTCAAACTTTCCTTCACAGTCACTGTATATGGTTGGGAGGTGTTGTCGTGTTCTGCTTTTGAAATGATTTTAGGTAATCATGTAGCAACTGGAGTGGAGACAGTGCCATCTTCTTACCGTAATATATCTGCAATATTTGTAGATACTTTTTGATATCTTGTGAAAATTTACCAAATTGAATAAAAATAGGGTCTCTGAAGATAACCAGTTTGCACATACCGCCTCCCTTTACAGGCTTTGCACCTTAACTGTACTGCACAGTTGTGTGCTGTTACTTGAAGCTGAAATAACAGACTAGGACTTCCCTGTAATGACTGTCATTGGCTGTGAGTGGCATTCTCTCACTCAGCACACCAGCTAAGATGGGAGAATTTTTTCCTACCCTGCAGACAGTAGAAATTACTGACCCCAGGGGAGAGAAATGGGTAATTGCAGTGGGGGAGAACTGAATTTGCAGAAAACAGAAAAACGCGGAGGATAGAGGAAATCAAAGCATCAAAGATGTAGCAAAACATTTTTGTAAAGGGGTTGTGTAAGGGCAGAAGACAGTCTCGAGTTTTTGGGTACATGGACAGAATAGGAAGCAAAAGTTGGAGATGTGTATGAGGGAAGCAAGAGCTAGAGGTCAGGTAGACAGAGAAGAGGAAATTTGGGTATGTGGAAGTGTAAAGAAGAGAAAGGGCAGGAGAGTTAAAGTGAAAAATGTGACTAGATGTGAGAAAGAATATGAGCATGAACTATAAGAGGACAGTAGACAGGCAGAAACTGAAATCTATGACACTGGAAACTTGTGGAGATGGAGAAAAAGAGGCTTGGTGGTATGGCAGAAAGGTACAGGCAACTAAGTTGGGGGTATAGTGCCTATGAGACTTCAGATTGTATGCAGTAGTATTTCTAAAATATCCTTGCAGTCACTGGGTGAAATAGCATATTTTTTCCCATCATCTGTCTTGGTTTACTGACAAATCAGAGGCGGGACCTCTGATGGAATAGAAACACCCCCCACCCCCCCAAATTATGACATTTTTTTGAAATTACGAGGTGTTCAAGTGAAGTATGAAAATTAATAATAGTTTTACTAAAAACAGAGAACAAAACAGAACAAAACAAAACCCAAACAATAACAGAAAAAACGTCACCTAAACCCACTGTTTCAGTTCTGTGCCACAGCAAGGTCTGACAGGGTCATGTGATCGCAATGTAGCCGGAGCAGACCTGCAGGCATCAGAGGCACTGACAGCCCTCAGAACATGACAGTCACCATGGCAATGGGAGAGTTCCTATCCAACATAGGAGCTGCAGAGCTGGAATGCGTGTATGGCAGCAACGGTGGCAGCTGCTGCCACAGCGGCAAAGAAATGGCACGGCTCTGAACAGTGGGGAGGTGGCAGAGATGGCTGCCGTGGCACAGCTTTGGGTGGCAGGGATAGCTGTTGTGGCATAGGCACTGCGGCACAGAGGCACAACCCAGCCGAGCAGCAACAGCAGTGGCAAGGAGGGGCAAATGGTCAGAGACCCAAACCACGATGAAAGAGAGAGAGAGAGCAGCCCGACTGTGCTCCTGCCCTTGCACCCCCCCCACCGGAACCAGATAGAGTTCCATTCCTGCTAGCAAGTTTTATGCTATTAAGTTCTCGCAGTATTTCTCGGCAGGACCCTTCATACCTCTCCGCCCCCTCCCTGCAGAGAGAGAGCAGAGGGTTGCGACCTGTTGCGACCTGCCCCAGAAAAAGGGGAGGGTAACCCAGGTTCTTATTAATAAATCCCTTGGAGTGGATTAGAGTGAAACTGTGCTGGTTAAAGGTAAACCAGCAGGGGAAATGAACCCAACTCAAAAGAGAGATTATAAGTCAGAATAACAATTTAATAAAATAATACAATAAGTACGATTATACAGACAAACAATTGGTTTTAACCCACAAAACCCAAATGTATAACCCAGCACCCTGGGGCATGAACAGAGTGGTGTTCGTTGGGCCCCCTGAGTCCAAAGTAAAAGGAGAGGGGAAAACCTGTTGGTGAGAGTGCTGTTGCAGTCTGGTCAAGAGTGGTGATTGCAGTCCAGTCGAGAGTGGTGGTTGCAGTCTGGTTGAGAGTAGTGGTCTGCAGTCTGGTTGAGAGTGGTGGTCTGCAGTCTTCCTCTGGATCCCACGAGTGGTTAAAAAAGTCCCAAGACCCCAAGATTATATATCCTCCAGTTCAGGAAGGAATGCCCAGTACCTCCCTCAGGGAGGGGAGTTCCACAATGGGTGTGAGGACAGGAGCATCCTCTTATCTCGCAGGCCTCTTAACACTCAGTTTTATAGCCTGAGGAGTCAGGCCTGCTCTGGGCAGATGGTGTAAATGGTCTATTGATAAGTTTCTGGGAAATGGCATGGAAGGCTATAGAATACACAGTTTTGGGTTACACCCATACAGTGATGAACTAGTCCCAGCTGTTCTAACTAGGACAGAAATGACACTGAATAAATAATCAGTGTTTGAAAACATATATATGTGGGGTTTATTTTAGAACAATTTTATTTCAAAGGTAAACAGGTATGTTGCCATTTTGGGTGTTATCGTCTATATCTATCATCTATAGCAATATGGCATAAAGATAACCTTTAGGGAAAATGCATAAGGGAGAGAAAGGGAAAGACAGGGTAAGGGAGAGTAAGGGAAAGGAAAGGATAAGGGTATATAGTCACCGCCCACTGGACCCAGTGATGGAACTTGATAGTTGTAGAAGCGATGGTCTTGATCTGTTGGGGGTGGGAGAGGGAAGCCCACACACTCAAAGAAGTTATGAGTCATTATATACTTCCAGAATGCCTTGTACCTGCCTGGAGCAGAGAGTTTTACCATGGATAGTGTCATGGGCCATGCCATGAGCCTCCAACATATTCTGGGCATGCGGAGTTCCTCTGAGGGGTATGGTAAAAGGGTTTTTTCCTGCCTTTCAGGATTGGTGGGGAGACGGGCTTTGACGGGCCATGCCACAAGCCTCCAACGTCTCCGACAGCCCAGGCCACATGCGCAGTGTTCATGTGAAGGGCACAGCAGAAATGGCTCTTCCCGCCTTTTTTAGGACTCGACCCCTCAGCAGCACTGGCAGGGGGATGGACCCCGCTGGGTGAGCAACCTCCTCTTCCCAACCTGCAAAAGTCCCCTGGTGATCCTAGAATGTGATGCCTCAGAGCTTTTTGGATTTTTTAACTTTTGTAGATTTTAGAAGTAGTTGTGTAGTAAATATAGATTTTAATGTAGCTGCATTGTATCCCTTCCCTTAACATAGTAGTTTACACATACGCAGCCCTATTACCCCATTTCATATCAATCCCTCTAAATTCCATTAGCATGTTTAGTCTTCTTTTCAAGGTAGAATTGTAGAAAAACACCTCTGCTTAAGAACATCGCACCCTAGGCCTAAGGCCTGATTAAAGGACCGGCTCTTTTTATCTTATACACTAAATTGGCCTGAAGTCTTTTTCTCCACCATCTCTTTAGGCAACAAATGAGTAAATCATTAACCATTTCAGTCTCTGACACCCCCACTGAGAAGTAAGATAACACGCAGGTACCCCCAAAAATGCCAGACAGTGGAAGTTCAGGAGAATTTATTCCAAAAATCGAGAACACTAGACTTACAAGGAAAAACTGCACCAGTGCTGCAAAAAGCACTGGGCCTGAGAAAGACACACCTCCTGTTCTCTTCCAGGCCTCTTATCTTCTCTGTCCGAGCCCTCCCCAGGCCCTGTCTGCTGCACCTGCTTGTAACATCTGTTTATCTCTCCACATACCAGAGAAAGAGAACCTGCATCTTTCTCTAGAATGCAAAAGGAGATAGAAAAGAAAAACATCAAACTATTTTTGAGAAAGGAACTCTTAGGCAGGAAAGACTTCCGAAGCGAAAAAGTCCTAACTCCTCATTACAAATTCTTCCAGAAGGGTATCTACCCTTGCGCTCTCCAAAACCACATGATGATATGAAAAAATTCAACAAGACAGTCTTCTTCATTTAGCTAAACCATAACATTATTCACCCTGAATTTTTCCATACCATCATGTTATATCAGATTTAAGCTTTCCAGCTATACACATACATACATATTCCAATTATATATGTTTACAAATACACACATACAGGCACGGTGTTATGGACAGTTTACCAAAAAAATCTATTTTCCTGTTAAGAGTACTAAAACAATTCTTATCTTGATTTAAATAAGATCTGTCCATTTGAGTCAGTCCATTTCCTGCTACCAACAAAATGCTTCTTAAAATAAATTTCACATTAGCTGGGGCAACTGCAGAGTGAGTAGTCAGAAGACTACCTACCCAACCAGCATGCCTTTATGAAAGCATCCTGGCTTGTATTAGTGTGGCCAGCAGGACTAGGGAAGTGATCATTCCCCTTTACTCTGCCCTGGTGAGGCCACACCTCAAATACTGTGTTCGGTTTTGGGCCCCTCACTACAAGAAAGACATTGAGGTGCTGGAGCATGTTCAGAGAAGGGCAACAAAGCTGGTGAAAAGTCTGAAGCAAAAGTCTTATGGGGAGCAACTGAGGAAGCTGGGTTTTTTTTAGCCTGAAGGGGAGACCTTATTGCTCTCTACAGTTTCCTGAAAGGAGGTTGTAGGAAAGTGGGGATCGATCTCTTTGAGGTAACAAGCCATAGGACAAGAAGAAACAGCATCAACTTGCACCAGGGGAGGTTTAGATTGGATATTAGGAAAAATTTTTTCACTGAAAGGGTGGTGAAGCATTGAAACATGCCAACCAGGGAAGTGGTGGAATCACTGTCCCTGGAAGTGTTAAAAAACCATGTAGGTGTGGTGCTTAGGGACATGGTTTAGTGGTAAACCTGGCAGTGTTAGGTTAATGGTTGGACTTGATGATCTTGGAGGTCTTTTCCAACCTTAATGATTCTATGATTCTAAGAGAACAGTCACTAGAGTCTCATGCTAGAAGAAATAGAGGATATGTTATTTTCTACACCTGAAGATGGAGATTTATTAGACCTTTTAGCAAATAATTTGATTTTACAATACATTACCAGGAATTAGTGAGATTGGCTATGGTTTTTTTTTTATGTCCTTAGTCTACTTTGAAAGATTTTGAAGTGGGCCTTTATTATAGTTACAAAACTGTTTAAAAGAGCATTGCCCTCATAAAATGAGGGTGACAGGTGGAATGTAGCAAGGCTAACATGAAAGGTAATAGAAAAATCCACTACTTAAATTGAGTAAATGGATTTCTCTACTTCCTAGGACTGTTCTTTTATGTTAGTGTAGCAGCAATTAGAGAGAAGAGGTTGCTCTGCAAATTGGCTCTGTCAACCATCTTTTTACTGTGTAAAACATAAAAAAATGGCTCCTAAGCAATCCACTTCAACTTTCAGTCTACAAATTATCAGATTAGAGCACTTCTGAAATGTTTTCCTGAGATTAACTAAAAGGAGACTATATTTGTATCAATAAGCAGATTATGGTTAAGGTAAATCTTACTGTGTTAGCAACAAAGGTGTGAGAAATATCTCTAATTTTAATTTCGGAGATGGCCAAATAAAGTGAAACAAAGAACTTTATTAACAGCACGCTGGGTGCACTGAACTCGTGACCAGGTTCAAGCACCCCTGAATGGGAGGGATGAGCCCTTTTAAGACCCTCTGATTTACATAACCACTCCCTCGCTCCTCCCATGCCAGGCCTCGTTCTTTTCTTCCTTAAAAGGCGATCTTTGCCTTCTGGTGCAGTCCATTGGTTGTCTTCATCCACCTATCAGGTTGTTTCCCTGCCCCCGGCTCACCTTCGCACTGTAACAGTAACCAAACAGAACAGTAAGTAACAATAAGTAGCAGTAAGCAGGCAGAACTATAAGCAGCAGTAGGCAACAATGAGCAGCAATAGGTAACCTCAAGCAGAACTGTATGTAGCAGCAGGTAGGCAGCAGCAATAAGCAACTTCAAGCAGAACCACAAGCAGTCCATCAGTCCCCAACCACAAAATGGCTCCCCAGTCCTTCAAACAAAATGGCCCCCAGGTGCCCCAGCATGAGGTAGCCCCTGCTTGTAATAAAACCATCTTAATTATTTCCCACAAAGGGACTACATTATTACTGCAGAGTTCTTAAAAAAATTGATTAATGCTTTAAAAATAATTAGTCCACATTTCAGATGTAATAGTGTTCTCTTGTTTAATTAAGAAATGATGCATCACTTTACCATAATAGTAAAATAGCTAATTTTTTGAAAAACAAAATAAACTTTCCTTACCAACAGATACTAAGTCACTTATTAAATACAGTTTGCCTCCCTGTCTTTAGCATTTGTCTCCTTTGAGACCTAGTGTGACTTCTGCTTCTGTGGACAATAATATTTTGTATTGTAGCTTCGTGATAGTCAGCAGTTCCCACAACTCGTCAGAATCATTGTGATCAGATGATAGGATTGGGAGTTGGTAAATGTGATTTCTACAGCAGACTACAAGTATGACAGTGGGAAATTATTTAACCTTGGTGCCGTATTTTCTGTAATACCTAGGCAGATGTTCATGATTAGAGTATTGCGAGGCTGTGCTGGTTTAAAAGAAAACTGGTGGGAGAAATGAACCCCACTCAACTGCCTCCTTTCGATAGCGGAGGAAGAAATACCAAGAGAGAGTACAAGTCAGAGTTACAATTTACTGAAGAAAGTGCAATAAAATACAACAATGCAGAGGAACTGGTTTAACCAACAAAGGCAGAGTATAACCTGGGCCCCTAGGACAAAAAACCAAAATGGTGTCAGTTCCTGTGCTGCAAGCCACACAGGCTCCCCAGAGGGAAATCAAAAAGAAAAACCTGGGAAGCTTTATCATCCGAATCAGGAATTACCTGCCTTTATGCCAACCCCCAGCAGTGGTGGTGCAGGTGTCTTGGTGGGGGGAGCAAGTGGCAGCATGATCCAGGGATGGCTCCCTTCCTCACCTGTAGATCTTGAGACTTAGTTGTTGCGATTTCAATGTCCCTTGGTTGAAGTGATGGTTGCATTCTGGATCCATCAAGTGATGGGGAAAAGTTTCCCCAACACACGGTCCATCCTACATTATATTATGTTTAGGCTAGGTGGAAATGCTCTGGTATCACCCCGGGGCAGGGAGCGTTACACTGGACGATGTAATACTGGACATTTTAGGAGTCTTTGACACCTTCAAAGAAGTTACAGCCGCCTATTAGTCAGTTACATCCATTATGACCCATTATGGCCCATCAGCAGAGATGAATACCTTCAGGTTACATATGAATGCCCTGGTGCTTCCTCAGAGGGGAGTTATCACAGCTGAATCATTTGTGTAAGGAAAAAAACCCCACTATCCCACCTTGCAGGATTTGCTTCTTTCCTTATCTTGTTCAACACCCAGCTTGTAGCCTGATCCAACAGATAACAACAATACAACCAAGGGAGACCTTGAGCATATCAAGAATGACTGCATGGCTCTGGGGAATGAGGGTCAAGGGCATGAAGGCCCAGGTTGCATCTCATTTACCCTGTTGGTGAAGGGGGAAGGCTTGGAGAGGAGCTGATGGACCCTGCAGGTCAACACCTGGTTGTACAGCTGGTGTCATGGTCAGGGGTTTGGCTTTTCTGACCCACTTTGTGGACTGAGAACTGCTAGGAAGAGATGGGATCCACCTAGCAAAGTAGTGCAAAAGCATCTTTGTCAACAGGCAGGCCAACCTGGAGAGGAGAGCTTTAAACTAAGAATGATGTAGAGGTGTCATGGGCAGAATGGGAGCTTCAGACAAAGTTTATTAGAGAAGCCCTCATGTTGAGACACGAGGTGCAGAAAGGACCCCCTTGCTTTCTTAAACTCCTTATCAGAGAGGAGTCTAGGTGGAGCTAGATCCAATCTGTCCGCATTCGCGGATGACACCAAGTTGGGTTAGAGTGTCGATCTGCTGGAGGGTAGGAAGGCTCTGCAGAGGGACCTGGACAGGCTGGATCAATGGGCCAAGAGCAACAGTATGAGGTTCAACAAGACCAAGTGCCAGGTCCTACACTTTGGCCATAATAACCCCCTGCAGCACTTACAGGCTGGGGGCAGAGTGGCTGGAAAGTGGTCCAGTGAAAAAGGACCTTGGGGTACTGGTCGACAGTTGGCTGAACATGAGCCAGCGTGTGCCCAGGTGGCCAAGAAGGCCAATGGCATCCTGCTTTGTATCAGAAATAGTGTGGCCAGCAGGACTAGGGAAGTAATTCTTCCCCTGTACTCAGTACTGGTAAGGCCGCACCTCGAGTGTTGTGTCCAGTTCTGGGCCCCTATAAATTCAGGAAGGACATTGAGGCGCTGGAGCAAGTCCCAGGCAACAAAGCTGGTGAAGGGTCTAGAGCACAAGTCCTATGAGGAGAGGCTGAGGGAGCTGGGGTTGTTTAGCCTGGGGAAGAGGAGGTTCAGCAGGGACCTTATCACTCTCTACAACTACCTGAAAGGAGGTTGTAGCCAGGTGGGTGTTGGCCTCTTCGCTCAAACAACTAGAGACAAGATGAGAGGACATAGCCTCAAGCTGTGTCGGGGAGGTTCAGATTGGACATTTGGAGGAATTTCTTCACAGGAAGGGTGATTAAACATTGGAATGGACTTTCAACATCGAAACCCAACACAGGTAACTGGGGTGCCAGGATGAGCTGTGCTTCAGTACCAATAATTTCTGAAGTAGTTCAAATCCCTTCATAAGCTGCCAGTATCTCCTTTTCAGTTGGAGTATAGCTGGTTTCAGATTCTCTGTGTCCCTGACTCCAAAACCCCAGGGGTCAACCTTGAGTCTCCCCTGGTACTTTCTGACAGTGGATCCAGGTCGGGCCATTCTCCCCAGCTGCAGTGTTGAGCGCATTTTTTACATCTTGCCCTGTCTGGACTGGCCCAAGGGCTACTGCATGAACAATCTCCTGTTTAATTTGTTCAAAGTCTTGTTGTTCAGGGCCCCTATTTAAAGTCATTCTTTTTTTTTTGATCACCTGATAGAGAGGGCTGACAATCAGACTGTAATTTAGAATGTGCATTCTCCAAAATCCCACAGTGGCCAAGAAAGCTTGTTTATTAGCTGGTGGAGATTTTTCTGTTATCTTGTTAATCACATCCATTGGGATCTGACAATGTCCATCTTGCCATTTTATTCCTAAAAACTGGATCTCTTGTGCAGGTCCCTATACTTTGTTTCATGGAAAAACCAGCTTTTGGAAGGATTTGGATTATTTTCCTCCCTTTCTCAAAAATTTCTTCTGCTGTTGTCTTAGTTTTACAAGACAAAATGTCTTCTAAGGAGGGTGGGAACCTTCCTGGAATATAAGAACAAAAACCAAACAAACTCCTCCCTCCAAGTTACTATAACTTTGAAATTAAGAGGCTTCAGGCAAAAAAAAAAGTGTAGAAAAGGAAATAACAGTTCTTTTCTAAATATATATATGTAAAACAAAAACAGAACAAGCAACAACACCGTAACCAAAACTTTCAAATAATTAAATGTCTTTGCCTTTCAGAGCAGTTATAACCACAGACAACAGGGTGCGATGTTGGGCTCTGGGAGGCAAAGGCTGCAGTAACTCACTGATGATTGGCAGGGGGCGCTGTTGGGCTCCAGGAGGTGAAAGGGGCCAGCCAAGAGAGTGGTGCCGACTTCCGAAAAACCCCATGTGACAATGGCGGGTCTCTGCAGCAGCAGATGGTCTGGGACCCCTCCCGTGGGCACCACAGGGACTCTCTCACCATTTTCCCGAGTGTGGGGGGGAAATAGAAGCTCCTCTGCAGACGGTGCAGGTCCCCAACGGGTCCAGAGCACACCCAGGCAGTGATGGCAGTCCGCAGAGAAGACATCACAGGGCATGCGGGATTGGGGGGCGAGCTGGGACTCTCCCCAAGCTACTGCAAGCCTCAGCAAGGCAACAGCTGAGCACCAAAGGCAATGGAACCAGAGGAGTGTGGAAATTGTCAAGGGTGAATGCCAAAGTCTCCCTCCACACCACCTCCAAGGCAGGAAAGAAGAGAGCAAATGTATCTCTCCTTAACAGGAGACTGCTGTCTGTGTAGAAAGAATTCACTGAAGTTTAAAACCATCACAGCTGTATTGCCTTACACAATTATATCATCAATGTATTGCAGGTGTTTTGGAGCTCCCCCCTGTTCCAGTGCAGTCTGGATCAGTCCATGGAGGATGGTAGGGCTGTTTTTCCACCTCTGGGGCAGTTGGTTCCAGGTGTACTGGATACCCCTCCAAGTGAAGGCAAACTGTGGCCTGCATTCTGCTGCTAAAGCAATTGAGAAAAACACATTAGTGATATCAATTGTGGCACCACTTGGCTGCCTTTGACTCCAGTTCCTATTGAAGTTCCAGCTTGTCCAGTACAGTAATATTCAGAGGCAGTGTGACTTCATTCAGGCCACTATAATCTATTGTCAGTCTCCATTCTCTGTTAGATTTTTGCACTGGTCATATGGGGCTGTTAAAGGGTGAGTGGGTCCTGCTGATCACTCCTTGGCTCTTGTCATAGGTTTGAAAAGAGATGTTGGAATTTTTTCCCTAATGTCCTGTTTTTTCCACTTCCCCCCCATCTGTTTCTTCCGGAATGGGGGGCGTCGGGGAGGGGGTGGGGGACGGAGCGGAGCTGCAAGCGCTGGGCAGCGTGGGAGTGGGGGGAAGGGGGAGGTTCCCTGGAAGAGCCGGGGCATGCCTCGGGAGTCTTTTGTGTCCAGAGATTTTTTTGGTTTTGTCGGCCAACCGGACAGAGCGGGGGGAGGGGGGTGGTGGTTTCGACCACCTCCTTTTCTTTTCCTGAGAGGAATAATTTTTTTCCCCACGGGACACCTCGCGGAGACCGACTGAGAGAGAGACCGACCCATCTCAGAGCGAGGTATTCTGCCTTCGGGACTGCCTGTGGGAAAAAGGACTCTTCCATTGCTGGCTGTGAAGCC